ATATTTTAATTATATTTTTACTATATATTAATTATATTGTAAATATATTTAAAAAAATTGAAATTTTCTGCAAAGAAAAGTTATACATATAACTAGTTGTATACTCATCTGATAGTTTAATATGAATATATGTTTATATAAACATGTGCTTGATATAAGTATTAATAAAAAGTCAAAAGACTAAAGAAGTTGTCTTAACACTAAAAAAAAAAATTAGAGTTTATATTTTAGACAATAGATTTTAAAATATAGAAATGAATTTTTTTATGTTAATTTTTCATCTTACTTTAATGAAGTTAATAGAACTATATATATAATAACTGTTTAAATTATGGATCAATAATATATTTCATATACAGTTTAAAACAAACACTGTAATTTTTTCATTTAGATGCAAGTTCTTATATTAAAAAATATTATATAAACTGAATGTTTTATAAAATTATATATATTTATTATATCAAAAGCACATTATGTAAATCAACTATGTTTATAAATTATATATAAATTCATTATATTGAGAAACCTTAGTGAATCAAAATATAAATATAATAAAACAAAATCTTCAGACCTTTGTTATATTGAGATTATATTGTATTTTACATAACGATAATAAAAATGATTAATTAATAGAACCGATTCTATGCTGAGAAAATACATACTATAAAAAACAGATCGTACACATGATTAATTACATAATATCAGAATTCAATAAGGGTTAAACTCACCATAATGAAAACTTAGACTGCAATACTCATATAAATTGAACGAAAAAATCTTATTTGATTTATAATTTTTTTATTAAATTTCTCTAATTCAGTTCTTTTTTTCAAACCCTGTTTAATATCTGTAAAATAAAATCTCGTTTAATTTGTAGCAATAGTGATAAATTCCTATGCCTTCAATTTTTCTTCATTTTCTCAAAATCAATTTCATAATATGTTTTCGTCATAATATGTCTACAAAAATTTTTAACCAAACAAACTATTTTTGACAAATTTTCTATAATACAATTTAAACAATAATCATTTAAGTATGGTTCACATTCTCTAAAAATTTTTACCAAATCATTATTTAGTTTTAATTCGTAAGTCAATTTTTCATAAAAATCTATAACGATAATATAATAATTTAAATAAGTTAATAATTAGCAATATTTATCAAAAATATAAGTAACAAAATGAACCTGATATTCTTTGAATGAAGGTTGGATCAAAAAATTTGAATCTATCCCTTATACATTCCAATTCAGTAGTTAAATCATACGTTGATTTTAATTGAATAACATGAAGAAAGTCTTTATCAATTTTCTGGTTTATTTTAGAAATAGCAAAAATATGCTGTAAGTATAATGTTATGATCAAATTTTGAGTTTCATTCTTTACCTTTTTAATATCCTCCTTATTTAAATGCCATAGTTTGTCCAATTGATTAGACTTTTTAGTCAAGTGTTTTCTAACATCATTGACTTCTGTTAATAATTTTTCTTTAATATTAAAGAGAACAAGATCATCATTTTTATTGAAATCGTCAAGGTCTTCATAAAACTGTTTAAATTTTCTAGCAATATTAATATAATCTTCAATCCATTTAAGTAAATTTTGATCAATCCTGTCAACTAAGTCTATTTTATTTGGACTAATACCAGTACTTTTTATGTTCATATTCATCAATTCCTTAATTAGCGAGGTTGCTGAACAGATCATATGAATAAAGTCATTAATCTTCAAAGCTTTTTTATCAAACTCTTTAGACTTGTTAAGTTGCACATCAATTTTTTTACGATATTCTTCAAAAGTTTCTGGAGTCTTATTATTTACAACGCTTATTGCTTTCCTCAATTGGTCTTGAAGATTTTTTGGTAACTCAAATTTTTCAGCCACTATAATTACCTACAATATAATAAATGATTAGTATATTACATTAATAAATGAATATTTCTAAAATTCTACTCACGTGCTGTAATAATAAAATCGTTAAGTATACTGACTTGATTCAATAAATATTATTGTCTAAATTTATGCTCACCTTCTGTAATTTATATAATAAGAATTTATTAATAAATACAAAAAAAATTTAATAAATATTTTCACATGCGACAGTTTATGAAACTTTATCAAGCACATAATAAATATGCAAATATTTTGTCATGAACAATCGAGTTTAAATCATTGATTGTCTAATACATAGCACTTTCTTAAATATCTTCAATAACAACCAATTTGAATTATTGCGTTATTGCACTAATTTCAAAGTTTTAATTAATATTAAGTTTATCCAAACAATAAAAGGTGCATTTTATAATTTAATGATAAAATTTAAATATAAAAGTTCCATCAAGTGAAAACCAAAAGTGGATTTTAGATGATAACAGCATATGGTTATTATTGCGCTTTGCAAAATTCTGTAACCCCTTGGTTACTAATATGTATAAAATGATCGTGATTATGGCGATTGCTAAATCTGGCCAATTTATTATCAGATTTATGATAAAATTGGCAATCACAATTATAGTCACAATTCTACATGTATTATAATTTTACAATACATATAATTTTACGTAAGTTTCACAAATCAGAATTTTCAAATAACCAAAAATTTGATCTCAGAAACTAATAGCATGTGTTCAAAATTATAAATTTACTCAAAATTACGTAAAATTAATATTAGTAATCAAGGGGGACATAATTTTGCAAAGCGCAATAAATATGTTAAGGGCAAACAGTTTGTTATAATGTAAGAAGGATTACTGGTTTCATCAATCGCCATAAATTCCATCGTTTAATTTATTTGTCAATTTATCAAGCAAAATTGGTTTTCATAGTGTCATTACTGTTAAAATTTATACTTACGTTGTTCTTTAATTGATATAATTAGAATTTTATTAAAAAACTTATTAATAGTATTATTTATAATAAATGTATACTCACTTCCTGTAATTTATTTATTTGATTGTATATTTTATGAAATACAAGCCCGATAAATGTGCATTTCTTAAAATTTATACTTACTTCCTGATTAATAATTAAAATTAGTAAATACTCAGTGTTATAAAATTATGAATTTGATTTAATAATTGAGGATTATTGAAAATATACGCACTTTCTATTAATTATATAGTTATTTAGAACATATAAATATAAAACTTATCACAAAAAAGCTATTTAAAATCATGCTTACAAACTGTAGATGCAATCAAAGGAAATTTAGAGATTGGACTTAAATTTAGCAAATAAGTACCATTGAAATTTATACTTACAACCTATGATAAATTATGTAGGTTTATAATCAATATAAAATTAATACTTAAAAAACAAATGAAACAATTAAGTTTAATACTTACTCCCTAGCAATTGATTTGAATCTTTTTATTTATCATAATATTAAGTTTAATTACTTTTTTAAAATTTTATACTCACTCTCTAGCAATAAATATATATCCAGTATAAATAATTATTTTTAATTCGTGATAAAATTTAGTAACAACTTATATTAATACTTACTTTCTGATATTTATACAATTAAATAAAATATGTATCAACTACTAGCAAGATGAAAAAAATTTGTTTACTGTAAACCTATACTCACGATCTAAAAGTTTAAGTAATTGATTTAATAGTTCTCCATAATACATAGCAAATAATACGTCTAGCATCGATATAGGCGTCTTAATATAGTCGCAAATTATTAAACACATTATCACAGTCTAGTAATTATATCGAGGTTAGACTTCAAAAATTTACTCACTTTCTAATAATTGATATGATTATTTATTATTTAAATTTTTTTTCACAATACCCATATTTATGTAAAATTTTGGTTAGTGCGGATATATATTATCCGGATTCTATCATTTTCAAAAACCACTTTCCAGACAAGTTAATTTCCATTAAATGTCAGGAATTTTTGTTAGTCGAGAAAATGATAGAGTCTCCGTATTATTTTCCCCAGTATCGCTACCAAAAGTTACTGTCACGTGATGGTTGATAACTTATGCTGGGGTTAGTGTTTATACTAGGGTTAGATTAGTAAGTATAGAGTAAAAATGCTCAATGAAAACTTTTAGTGTAATTTTGACACATTTGTGATTTTGACAAACAAATGTTTGCTTTAGATTTTCCGACGCGCTACATTACGTAATGGTAACTTTTTGGTAATGATACTCATGGAAATGTATCCAGAGATTTTCCCGTATTTTTAATAATCCAAAGTCATGCGAATGAACATTGCTATGTGTTATGATACACCTATACTGTACAATATCTTAATAAATATACGTATACTCACACCCTAAAAGTTTTAATCAGTCAGAGCACATAGAATTAACAATAAAATAATTGAATAATTAATATAATGTATAATTTGATGTAACCAATTATAGCATTGATTAATTCAACAAATAAATAATATTGAAATTTATACTCACATACTGTAATTTATATAATCGATTAGAGCATTGATTAATTTATTATAAAATTATAATTTAACAAATAAATATTAATAAATATTATTGAAAATTATACTCACATCCTGTAATTTATATAATCGATTAGAGCATTGATTAATTCATTATAAAATTATAATTTAACAAATAAATATTAATAAATATT